TAAAAAGTTTCAATTCTCACTTTAAAAATTTTTTTCAATACACTCACTTTATAATATATATTATTATTATTTGATTTTGAGTAGACAATTTTATTTCACTTTATAATATATATTATTATTATTTGATTTTCAGTAGGCAATTTTATTTTGATAGTTTAACATAGTGATGTAAGAGTAAAAAAAGTTATTGTCGGAGATGTGAGTATTGCAGTTATCAAACTGTTTTACGATAGAACTGGTTACATTGATTAGAGAGTTGATAGAAAATGTATCTGATGCACGAAAGACTAGGGGAAGTCGTAGTCGGTTATCTACATAGTGATAAAACAGGAAGCAAGAGTTTTCACTCCTTAACTTTGAAAGATCTCCTTAACTTTGAAAGTTAAAACTACTCTGACATTAGTTAAAAGGTATGAAGTAGCCACAGACGCTTGGAGTGCCCTAGCTAAAGCATACGAAGACAGATATCTTCAGAGAAAACTATATTGATTGCTTTTAACTGATTTTTGACCTGTGGAGGGTTTTTTTCACTGAAATTTCAGACAAAGGCAACAGTTGGACAATATTTGAAAATAAATTAATGATGAGTCTATTGGAGCTATTATGATCTCCTAGTTACTAGTTACTATGACCTTCAAACATGTTCAATTAATTTCTGAGATGGTGTTAAACCTACTCAAATGAAGCGAAACGACATAAATGAGGCAAAAAAAAGAAATAAATAAGAACAACTTGAGTAACACAAGAAGTGATATGTTTCAATTGCAAAGAACCACGCTACATCAAACAAAGATATCACAACCTCAAGAATAGTTCAAAAAACCCTGAAGTCATGAAGGACTATAGTCATCTAAGTTTCTTTCAAATAATGTAAGTAGGTACTGACAATTGATATATTGTCTGTCAGGTATTGTATCACGAATGCCAGTTTCATCTGATTGCCTTACAGGAAAATTTGCAGTAAAAGACAGTTGGCAGTTGATGTTAAAACTTGGCTTTGGGGAGGTAGCCAGGTTTAAATTTGATATTGATATTGAGTCTTCTGTTGATCCCATAATAAAGGGAGGAGTTATTGTCTTTACTTACTCAGGCTTGTCTTTCAAGAACAGTTGAGTTCAGCAATGCATTCCTGGTTCAATCTGGCAACATTAAAGATACCTCGGCGGGTTGAAATGGCGCTGTCTAGTATTGGATTACGGATGCTTTGTTTTTTGCTTCAGTTTTATCTGATATAGCCCAGAAGAAAAATGTTCGAATCTGAGTCACTCGAAAATTTTTGGATGTTAGACTTATGTTCATATTCCTAAAAATGATAGGGGTAAGCGTGATACTTATTCTGAAATATGTACTTTCGTACAGTAAAACTTCAAAAGCATTTTTTTCAACAGGTTTCAAATCCTAGAAGGCTTGGTAATGCTAGAGATATTATTTTTTAGAAGATAGTTTTCCGTAAAAAATAGGAGAAACTGTATAAATAAATATGAAATCCAAATTATGCTTAGTTTTACACCTAACACTTCGTTTAATAATTACAAGGATTTTGATGTTGAAGAAGTTGAATCGGAAGAGGAGTGATTCGAGGGCAATCTCAAAAACATGAACTTGGATATTTTCCACTTGAAAATAAAATGAGGCAATGCTTGAAGATGGAGGAGAAAATAAAACGTACCCTGAAATGGAAAGGAATAAAACAGTACCCCGGGTTTGAGTTTTACAAAACGAACTGTGTGCATTTATTTGGAGAAGAATCTGAGAAATGTAAAAAGGTAATAGAAGTATAATACAAGTCGCTACTAGCCAAATATCAATTGCATTGGACCTAGGTTATACATTCGGTTATACCTTCAAACCAGTGTATTTCGAGCTCCTGCTGGATTTACAACTCAGTGAATATTTCATTATTTCAAAGTGAAGGTCATGCGGAAATTTCTTAGATATGTTGATATCCATCTTGGTGTTAGGTGACTTTTTTTGAAGTTAGTCCGAATGTATGAAGTTTGATAATGAAGTTTTATGTTTTCTATTATCATTTTTGATCGTAGGTTTACTAAATATGGTTGATTTGTACCAAAATTACTTTGTTTTCATCGGAACTGACAAGATAGTGGTAAGAATATTGCAAAATTGTGTGAAGTGACAAGTGTTTATTTTGGTATTCATTTAAAATAGATGAAATAGCGGAGAGAGGTTATCAAATTTAAAAATCATTCATTCAGGCTTTTCGTTCATCTACAGATTCTTCAAATCATGTTCGCCACAACTTTAGTTTGATGTCACTGTGTCGAGATCGTTTGCCCACAAGTCACATTGAGGGAAGCAATAAATTGTTTAAACTTGATCCTGAACCGTTCAGTTCATTTGATTGTTAGTAATTATGTTGTCAATTGAAGACCTAAGTGGATGAAGGTGTTATGTCACATTTTTGGAAAAATTGATTTTATTTATTTTTTGAGGCCCCAGGTTCTAAAAGTGGTATGCCGCATAGCATACTCACCGTTTTAGTGGATAAAACTGTCATGTCACAAATCTAGGACATAACACGTTTATCTACTAAAAAAAGTACGGTTGTTTGGTAGGCACGAGTTGTGTTGCAGTAACATATCACTTTTGAGGTTATGTTTCATAAATTGCGTGCATCACTTATGAAACTTATGAAAATGAAAATATTGCTCACGAACAGTTGCATGTTACTGGCGAAGGAGAAATGACGTACAGTTCTAAACACAGAAACAAACCAAGAATTTTTTTTATTAAACCCAAAATTTGCAGAAAACGGCTACGAATCCCCAAGAATGGAAGCGAAAAAAAGCTACAATGTGTAGAAAAAGGGGATTGCAATACGTTCCGCAAAGAGGAAACGTCATGCCAAAAAAAAGTAATAGAGAAAGACTAGTTGTGGAAAGAAAAATGCAGGTTACAGTGTGGATCTAAATTTAATCTAGAAACTAGGGAAGCCATTTAAAAAAAATTGTAAATTGGAGAATAATGCCAAAAATTGTCTTTTGTTCAAAAGCATTGATATACATCCAGTTGCTCGACATGGAATTGGTACAAAACAACAGAAGCAAAATTCCTTTGCATTTTCAATAAGTTTTGAGAAACGAAAAATACCGGTGTGCGAAGATGCTTTTTGTTACCTTTATCAAATCTGTTTGAAACATGTCTGTTTGAAATTTGTTTTTCCGTTAACCAGCTCTCGCAGCCCTACGAACGGCAACCCTCAGAAATCTAAACTTGTGTGAGGTAAAGATTAACGAGGTCTTACATTTTAACGTATGATTCCTAACATGGAAGGAAGAAAAAAGATAGAAAATATACAGAAACAGCTCAAAATTGGCCTATCAGCTCCATCGCCAAGTAAACAAGGACGACATAAAAATAGGCCACACAAAATTAGTGAGGAAGTGATAGCCTAAATTGTGAATCATATTAAGATGTTTCCGGCAGAGAACTCTCACTATTCACGCAATAAAAATGAAAACAAACAGTTTTTATCCCCATTACTTAACGTAACAGAGATGCACCATATGCACATAAAGGAATGTAAAGAAAAAACTAGAAGACATGTATTTCGTCAAAATTTCTATGTATCGTTATATATTCGAAACAAGATTTAACCTTTCATTTGGTCACCCCAAGAGGGATAAGTGTAGTGTATGTGATACCGGTGGAAATATTGCTGATCACAAAGACAACTATACCTTTGCTTTCGAATCGTAAAAAATTTACAGGCAAAAGCAACTTTCCAACAAAAACATACTCTACATCACTATGGATTTGCAACAAACTATGCCTCTGCCCAAGCTATAAGCCTCAAAGCATTTTACTTCAGATAAATGTGGCTATACAATTTTGGGATACACTGTATTACCTATTTAGGACAGAAATCATACTTCTTCACGTGGACTGAGGATCTAGCCAATAGAGGCAGCAATGAATTTGCAAGTTGTCTGTTTCGGTTTGGTAAAATGCTCAAAAAAGAATAACCAGAAACAAATCATTTGATTGTATGGTCTGATTCGTGTGCCGGACAGAATAAGAACTTCGTGATTTTTTGCCTATGTGAATATTTAATTTTAAATTGCTATTTAAAATAATTGATCACAAGTTTCCGGAAGTAGGTCATAGCTATCTTGATTTTGATAGGGACTTCGGCCGATCGAAAAAGTTATTAGGAAACATCAAACCATTTTATACCTGACCAATATCGTGACATTATAAAGTCATAAAGTACAAAAAATAGTATTTGTGTAAACATGGAAAACTTTTTCTATGATTTCGAAGAAGAAAAGACTCTAAATGACAAAATTAACCTTCGGAATGATGTAAAATGAATTAAAGTGAACGAATTTGCCTACTATCATTATAAAACATGTTTACATGATTATACAATATTTCGTCGAGTTGATTTAAATAAAAGAAGGTACGCAAAATCTTGATAGTAATGAAGTAAAACCAACTAGACTCACACAGAAAACAGGCGATTTGAGTCTTGATAAGCTACAAAATTTAAAAGATCAAATCAAATTTGTTGATGAGGAATACAGGTGGCTTTACGAGGACCTTTTAAAAACAACATCGAAAACCCAAAAAAGAAGAGAAAAATATGTTAAATTTTTCAATAACCAGCTTTTGTGCATTTTTATTGAAGCGATAAACAAACATTAGTATACTTGACTCTTTTATCCATATAAACCAAACCACACTTCAAATTCAAGTTTGGTGAATAAAGGTGCTATGTACATGAAACTCTATTTTTCTCTATTTTTACTAATCAAAATTTATGGAAATGAAAATAATGATTATATACCCATTTAATAAAGGCCGCAAGCTAAAAGCAAAAATAAAACAAAAAAGTCCCAAATCAAAACGGTTTGTGACATAACACCTTTATCCACTTAGGTCTTCAATTACTACAATTTATATTAGATGTTAGGGATATCTAACAGTAGAAATCCTTCAAAAGGATTTGTATTGCACACCAAATTCATAGAACTCACCTGCTGAAAACCCTACCAACAATCTTCCCAAAAATAGCATCTCTACAGAATGTGTTGGCTTTGATACAACAAAAAGTAAACCTGCTGATATTCCTAGAACGGAACTCACTATCAAAACACCTCTTCGGCCAATCTTGTCGGCCAGAACTGCACCACCGAGTGATCCTATTGCAGCTCCCACCAAAAAAATGGACACGATTGACGACCATAACAGATCTAGTTGGCTCTTGGTCATATACAGGTCATACCTTGTTTGCATGCTCTCATTACAAAATTCTTTCATGATCTGCAAAAAAGATTGTAGTAGTAGTATGGAGTATCGATTCTTCAGGATTGAAATTTTTGTGATTACTGTGATTTCTGTCAACATATACAGGGTGTCCCTGGACTTATAGTGATCGATATTAGAGTTACGTGTTATGTAAGAGCGTGAAATTTAATACCTAAGTTTCAATGTTTTTTTATGGAACATATCAAAGCAATGCCCATGAGTGTCAGTATTTTGTGGTATTTTTTGCCCATTTCCACCATTCACAAACTAAAAAAAAATATAAATTGTATTGAAAAACTTTGTGCAGGGGAGGGGGTAAACTTCTACTTTACTTCTATGATTACTGCGAAATACCCAACTAGTTTTATCAATGAAATATCCTACTTACTTGTTAACTGAATTCAATTTCGCCCATCAAAACGGCCGATTATTGTATTGTATGACTGATTCAAGATGAGAGCCAGTAAAATGAGAAAATCTAAAACCAAACGACAGTTGGCGTTCAGGAAATTCCAATTAGAACCGAAATACTCTAATTTTGTGCAGTAACGGTCGCAGTGCCCGTAACGAAAACTGCGCCTTTGATAATGTATACCGCAGTAGTAGACAAAACGTCAGGTATACAATCCTGTAGACCACGGCCAAAAACCCGGTAAAAAGCGTTCATGCAATTATATAATTTCTACAATAAATATTATTTCAAACGCGTTTTACTATACGGTAGCTTCATCAGTTACTGGTTCATCAAACTATCATACAAAATCTTTCATATAAAAGTAGGTGATTGAATCTGGTAAACCAGGTAGATTTTGAATAAACACTAAGGTACAATACAACAATACTTCTAGGAAACAGGTGTAACTCAATTAGATAAATAATTAATTCTGGCAAAATAGGTAGATTCAGAAAGCACCAATAATACTTATACAATTTCTAGGCAAACAGTTGATATGTAAATATGTTCATTATTGAAATTTTGAGAAAAAGTTCAATACTGGTTTATGAATAACTTGTAACGAATCTGAAGCCGGCCCTGAACGATATCTCAGCCAGCAAACACATGACTCATCGCGAACCACCGCGAAAGGTATAGATGAGTGCCGAAACTCCTAGAGAGATCTGGAGCGATCGTTGCCGATATAAAAAGCCGCTTCTAGTCCAGAGCGGCAGTCTGTATTTAGAAAGCGAATCGTGCGTTTGAATAAAGAATTCGAACAGTAAAGATAAATTAAGCGTTAGTTGCTAAGTGTTGAATATAAATTAGTTGTGATAATGAAATATTGTTCAAAAATAAATTTGTTTAAGTCAGTTAATTCTTTAATTCGTTACAACTGGTGATCAGAAGTGGATTTTTAAAATAAATTTGTGAGCGCTTGGTGGACAATCTTTATATTACGGTGAAATTGACTATAAAACTTTCGCGCAGAGAGACTGGTGATTCATTGTGTTTCGGAAACATAAACTGATAGACTTTTCTCGCGAAAAATAGACTTGTGGAAATGAACAAGTGTTTCGGACTCGATTAAAATAAGTGGAAATTTTCAGTTTTGTGGAAAATAGACAATAAGAGACAAAATGTGTTCAAGGAAAGTGAGCCTAGTGGACTTGAAAATTGCCGAATTGAAGCAAGAATTGAAGGAGAGAGAGCTAGATTGTTCTGTGAAGAAATCAGTACTCCAGAAGAGATTGTGGGACAACTTGATTGAATCAGGAGAAGATCCCGAAACATATTTATTCGAAGTTTCTGGGGGTGATTTGAGTTCAATAATGAGCAAACTCGATGGACCTCAACAAAATTCGGTAAGCCTTGAAGAGAAGATTCTGGAAAATTCGAAAAGCTTGAAGGAAGAACTTCTAGAAAATGCGGAAGGCTTGAAGAAAGAACTTTATGGTGTGGCGAGTCTACTCGAAGAAAGGATAGGAACCATTGAGACAGAGATAGATAAAATCAGGAAGGAAATGAACACAGAAGTAGAGGAAATCAAAGGCGGAGTTCAGGCAGAAATCAGCAAGATCAAAGAAGCCCACCCCACAGAAACGGTTACCAAAAACTCAATTCCGGAACTGAAAGATGTCAAAGTCAGTCCTGAACCAGAAAAGCTCTCCATGAAGTCGCCCCAGTTCGACGGGAAAACTCCTTGGGCAAATTACCGCCGACAATTTGAAGCTGCTGCGGCCAGAGTCAATGGATGGAATGCAGGAGAAAAGGCGGTAGCATTAACATTGGCGTTGCGTGGAGAACCAACGAATATTCTGCAAACCCTCACGGCCCAAGAACAGGAAGACTATGACCAACTTATAAAGCATCTTGAACTACGGTATGGACAGGCCCACCTAGAGCACGTTTACCATTCACAGCTGAAGAACCGCTGTCAGAAATCAGGAGAATCCCTAAAGGAGTTTGAAGCCGACATAGCTCGATTGGACCGTCTGGCATATCCTGCTACACCGGAAAATGTAGTGGAGCGGTTAGCAGTTCAGGCATTCTTTGATGGACTTCGCGACCAAGAAACGAGGCAGGCCTTGACGCTGGCTCGTTTCAAACAAATCGTGGATGCACTGGCAAGAGCTCTGGAGTTTGAGGCTGTAAAACAATCCTGCAAGGGCCAGAGCAAAGTTCAAACTGTGGAGGAAGATGGACAGGGTTTTCCTGATATTGAGGCCACTATTAGAAAGATGATAAAAGGAGTTTTGTCAGAAAGAAAACAAATAAGATGCTGGAACCGCGGGAAAATTGGGCATGTGCGTAGCAAATGTCCAAGCATTCAAAAGAATCAACACCAAATTAAGAAAACTAGAGAGGTTCCATGAGAAGGAGCAATCGTCAGCCTGTATCCAGCAAGCCCCCGTAAAAAACGCGGATGCCCTGTCACGGAGACCATGCCCCGATGACTGCTTACATTGCCGACGAGCAGAAGAGAAGGAAGCAGCTATTTGTAGAACTACAGCTGTAGACGACAACTGGAAGGACAATAGGATCGAGGAAGACCAAGAGAAAGACCCAGATCTTGGTTTAGTCATCGGATGGAAGAAAAGTAATCAAAGACCATCGTGACAGGAGGTTGAAGATTATTCGCCAGCGGTAAAGTCCCACTGGGTCCAATGGAACTCCCTTACCTTGGAAAACGGGGTTCTGAAGCGGGTGATGGAGTTTGAAGACGGTGGAGAAGAAAGGCGCCAGACAGAGATACCCAGGAGCAGACGACGGGAGGTGCTCACGGAAATCCATGATGAAGTCACTGGAGGACATCAGGGAGTAACGAAGACCCTCCAGAAAGTGACACAACGGTTTTACTGGGTTAATTGTCAAGCCAACGTCAAGGACTGGTGCAGAAATTGTGCTGTATGGACTGCCAGTAACGGACCTCGGATACGACCGAAAGCTCCAATGCCCCAGTATAACGTGGGTAGGCCTTTTGAGAGAATCGCCATCGACATCGCCGGCCCGTTCCCAGAGTCCGACCATGGAAATAAATACATCCTAGTAGCCATGGACTACTTCAGCAAGTGGGCAGAAGCCTATGCCATGCCCAACCAGGAAGCCTTTACCGTCGCTGACGTCTTGGTACAGAAATGGATATGTCGATTCGGTGTCCCATTGGAGCTGCATTCGGACCAGTCCAGAAATTTCAAGTCCAACTTGTTCCGAAAAATATGTAAACTGTTGGACATTGGAAAGACCAGAACCACAACCCTACACCCACAGTCCGATGGAATGGTGGAACGAATGAATAAGACCATAAACCGCCACTTGTCCAAGGTAGTCCTGACCATCAACGAGACCTCCACCTGTTGCTGCTGGCTTATCGTTCGGCAGTGCACGAGTCAACCGGCCAAACCCCTGCCAGTATTATAATGGGACGAGAGCTGCGGCTTCCTTGCGACCTGAAATTTGGGACGCCGCCAGAACAAGACACTGCGGGGGAAGACTATGTCAGCAAACTTCGGCAGAGAATGGACGACATACATGAACGAGTCCGTCTGAACATCCGGAGTGCCAACGATAGGATGAAAAAGGCCTATGACAACAAGGCGAATGATAAAGGATTCGAAACTGGTGACCTAATTTGATGCAATTCATGTCCTTATACTTGAACGGACAGAGGGTCGTACATGGGGTAACTCGAAAAGAGTCACGAGACCTTTTCAAGGTTCCAGTTGATTACGCACTAGCTCACTGCGTGGCAGAGGATCTTCAAATGTCCAAGGGTATCGCTGTGGTATTCAACAAGAAATTTGGTCAGCTCCAATATTACGAGAACAGAATCCTGAAGTCGGAGGAGTGCTACAGTTGAAGAAGGGTAAGAGAAACATTTTCTACTTGGTGACCAAAAAGCATTCGCGAGACAAACCGTCCTATGAAGATGTCTGGAGGAGTCTTACTAGACTGAAGGACACGATGCTCGACCAGAATCTCGTGAACTTGGCAATCCCGAAATTAGTCTCTGGGCTCGACAGACTGGACTGGAGAATTGTGAGAAGCATGTTGGAAACGATCTTCAGATCCAGCGGCATTCAGATTTTGGTGTGCGGTAACCATCTTCCACGACCAAGCATGACGACTGTGGAGTGTTACTCCCTTCGAACTTCACAGTGCAGATATGGGGAGCCCTGCAGGTATCGACACACGCCAAGGATGACATTTCAGGGCGAAATGTAACGAAAAGAAGGCAATGTAACGAATCTGAAGGCGGCCCTGAACGATATCTCAGCCAGCAAACACATGACTCATCGCGAACCACCGCGAAAGGTATAGATGAGTGCCGAAACTCCTAGAGAGATCTGGAGCGGTTGCCGATATAAAAAGGCCGCATCTAATCCAGAGCGGCAGTCTATATTCAGAAAGCGAATCGTGCGTTTAAATAAAGAATTCGAACAGTGAAGATAAATTAAGCGTTAGTTGCCAAGTGTTGAATATAAATTAGTTGTGATAGTGAAATATTGTTCAAAAATAAATTTGTTTAAGCCAGTTAATTGTTTAATTCGTTACATACGTGTTGGTCGTTTAAAAGAAAATTTGAATGTTTGCGTCTATTGATTTCCAGATATTCTGGCAGGTTTAATTTTTGTTTTTTATTTTTTTGTATGTAATATGGCGTAGTCGCTGTTGAAATCATAGTTATCGATTACGACATATTACATACAGAAAATAAAGGACCAAAGTTAAACCTGCTAGAATCTCTGGAAATCAATAAATGCAAATAATCAATTTTTTAACGACCAACAGGAAGTTATTTATTCACCATTATTGAACTTGTTCTCATTAAATGTCATATATTAACATATTTGCATATCAAATGTTTTCCTAGAAATAATATTCTATAAATTTGTGCTTTCTAAATCTACCTGTTTTGATGCACTGTTTGGAACCTTTGGTGTAGTAATGAATATTACTGGAGTTTGTTTTTCAACACCAAACCGTTATTTTAATACCTTGACACGTGTTTCGGTCACCAAGTAATGACCTTCAAGAGGAAGGTCAAACATAAAATTATTTGGCATAAACAGGATGTTCCACAAAACCATCAAACATGTACATGAAACATGTACACAAAACATGAAACATGACCATCATATTTTTACGCATCAGAGGAACCACGAGCTCAAGTCAAAAGAAATACTGTAATTTTTTGTGAAGGACATCAGAGTTTTTATCGACCTTCTTTGGGTATTTTCACCATTCACAATCTAAATAAATATGAAAATTGTAATGGAGAAATGTATTCAGGTGTACCTAGAGTGGGAAAACTTTTCACACCGAAAACTTACTACTGGAATTCAAAGTATTTAAAAAAAAAAATGTTCCATTCATCAGTAACCATCGTATTCAATAATTCTGTCTATCGAAGAAAAAACCATGAAATTATACAGATAGTTATCTTAACAATTCGGAGGCTAAAATCTGCTTCCGTATTAAGATTTTTTTTCAGATTGTGGAAGTTAAAAATATTCAAAAAAAGGTCGATAGAAACTCAAAAAGAATAATTTTTCAAATTCCAAATAATTCTTTTAACACATCATTTTTTTACTGAATACCAAAATTTGCATGCATTCTGAATTTCGATATAAAGAATTTCTACATTATTAAGGTACTTACGTTTGCAGGCGTATTCACAACTCCAATATGGTATCCTACTGGTAGGGAAAGACCCAAAGTTGTTGATATACCAGCCAACATAAGAAGCTTCGTCCATCCTGGCTGTGTTAATTGTTTATCCTTGACATAAAATGTTTCAATTAATGATTTTACGATTTTGATATTTTTTTTGTTTTTTAATATTCAAAATTATATTAAAATAAATGTAATTTATTTTTATGAAAGGGGTGTTAATTCTCAAATTTCCACATTTTAGACTGACTAAGCTGATATTGACCCTCCCGAGGGGTCTTCACCTTGCCGTGGTGGGTGTGCTTGCATACTGTGATGAAGTTACGGGCTATGTCGGAGGCAGCTTAGCTGCTGGTAGGATCACCCATGCCGAAGAGGCCGTAACAGAACAGTCAGACCAAGAACGGCCTAGGCTTAATCCAAGGTGTTATGCGACCCGTGCCAAAGGATGAATGGTACCTGAACGGATCCTTCTGGATACCAGGCGACCTCCCAAAGTATCTAGTCTTACATCCATATAGGGGGCATCATGGATGTGGACAACCTTTTCCCCCATACTCGTGGGACTTGGATGGAACAAGGAACAAGTACAAGAATATCAGAGGACTCTTCGAGCGACTCTTCGCAAAATCAGACTATCCTGGAGGTGCAAACTGACCAGGAAAGTCATAGTCAAACGGCGGTAAACACCAGCCCCGCCGAAAGCATAACTGCAGGACTGACGAAAGTCGAACTGCAGAAGAAAAGGCCATCAGGGGCGCAAAGTGATGAAAGCACGAAAAATAGCTGCGGGAACATAGATTGAAAAACCATATAACACAAAAGACCACAGGAAAACGGAAAAAACAAAAGTAACTTATGTGGAAAGGGCCAAAAAGAGACCTAGAGAAGATGTAAAAACTCTCCCGCAGAAGGTACTGAAAAAACCCAGGGCCTCCAAAGAAACTGGGACCTATAGCGAAACTGCTAGGAGCCTGAGGGTGGCGGTCACCGACACGCGACACCCTGAGTCAGGGTCAAGCAGACCTGATCCAGGAGAAACTTGTCTGCGAATTGGACAATACTCCCTCTGGTAGCCTCGAAAACCTCCAATTCAAAAAGACCTCATTCGGCGCAGGGGTCCTATGGATAACCTGTGCGAATGAAGGGACAAAAGAATGACTCAGAGGAAGCATTGGAAACTTGGGAAATCTGGTCGAGGCAAACGAACTCCCGAAGAGACCGAGAGTCCTAACCTTCATTACGGGCCAAAAAGACGAGGAGGCTACAGTAAGGACACGCCTCAGTAAGCAGAATCCTGCCCTGGGAGTGGAAAACTGGATCCTCCTGAGCAGAAAAGTGGAAGAGGAAGGACAAATCCTGGCCTACTCCACGAATGAAAGTTCCTTCAGGACTTTGGAGGGGAACATGTTTAAAGCCTACTACAAGCAGGTCTTTGAGACCAATTAGTATCATCTCAATTGCGTTGAAAATGCTAGAAAAACTACTTGACAGGCATATCAGGGACGTATCAATGACTATCAGACCATTACATTACAGACCAATATGCATACAGGTCAGGTATGTCAACAGAAACAGCTCTATGTCGGGTAACAGAAAAAGTTGAATATACCTACAAAAACAAAGAAGTACTTTTAGATACTTTCTTGGACATTGAGGGCGCATTTGATAATACGTCGTTAGAATCAATCATCCAGGCGTCGAGGAGAAGAGGGATCGACAAGACAAGCTGCAGGTGGATAGACTGCATGCTTAGGGGAAGATTGGTATGTGCAACCATTATGGGGGAAACAGTCGTGGCACGGGTAGCAAGCGGCTATCCTCGGGGGGGTTCTATCCCCTCTGTTATGGAACCTTGTAATGAACGAACTACTATGTCTCTTGGACCATAATGGGTATAAAGCACTGGGCTATGCAGACGACTTAGTCATCCTAGTCCAGGGTAAATACAATAATGTAGTGAAGGGATGCATGCAGCAGGCCCTGAACATTATAACAAGATGGACCAAAGAAGAAGGGGTTAACATAAGCCCATCCAAATCGACCATAGTAGCATTCACCAAAAGGAATAAAACGGAGGGTCTCGGACCTTTAAAACTTCGAGGTGAAGAAATACAAGTGTCGGGAAAGGTTAAATATCCGGGAGTAATCCTAGATTTCAAAATGACCTGGAACCAACACTTGGACAGGATAAAGAGGAAAGCGGAGGTAGCACTGATGCTCGCCAGACTCACCTATGGAAAAACATGGGGGCTAAAACCAGACATGGTATATTGGCTATACACGATTGTGGTTAAATCCATGATAACATACGCATATCTGGTCTGGTGGCCAAAGATGAAGCAGGCGACCGCCATCAACAAACAGGCAATATATGGACGTACAAAATTACGCCCAGAAGAATATGACGAACATCCAACACGGAACCTGTACAGGGAACGAGACTGATGGAATGGGTGTCATGAGAAGATGGGAGAATAAACGCAATAAGCCCAAGAGGCTGCTATGTTTTCTGGAGACTTGGACTAAATGGACAAGTCAGACAGCTCCCAAAGTACACAAAAAAAAAAGCTGATATCGATCTCCTAACGAGAAACAATATTTTCGACAGGCGTTGAATCACCCGAGACTCCATGTGAAGCCACTCGAGAGAAATATAATTTTTGCCGATCTCATTTCGTTTTTAGAGGTGAGACGTTTATTAACTGTAGCACTAGGGGTGAGTTTCCCTTCCTATTGTTATTGAGCCCGAATCATATACAGGTTTGTTATGGGGGTATTATTTTCAATAATTTCACGTTCTAGATTCATGACGATATCAACACATTTTTACTGAATTGTTATTGAAATATTTTTATATCAGGGGTGTTAACTCCCCCTTTCTGTTTGTTCTTAAATATAAATTCGCATGTACGTGATATCGCGAGGGTTATCATGCCGATCTCGTTAACTTTTTGGCAGATAAAGACTCATATTCAATAAAACAGTAGTAGGATAACCCTTCTTTATAAGTCAAAATGTCAGTCAATATTTGCTTTCATAAAGGGGGTGTTCGCATCGATATTTCCATATTTTGAATTCACACTGATGTCAATCGTACAACGAGAAACTGTCATAGAAACAATAATAAAATAACTCTTTCAGGTTATTAATTGACATAAAAATCCACTGTATTTATTTTCATGAAGGGGGTATTAATTTCTATATTTTCATATTTCCATATTTATTATATAAAAACTACTTTGCGTGTTATCTCGGAAACAGATTTGAACATTTTGTTGATAAATTCAGAGATCAAGGATCATACTTTCCGTCATCCTACTATCTATCAAAGTTTATATTTTAAGAAAGTTTCCGAAACTGAGATTACGTAACATCCATGAGGCACTATTTATATTATTTCCACGAAGTGGTACATGCATAATTATTTGTATGTGAATAAATTTGCGAAGTTGTAATGCACTGCAGTATCACCAAACCGTTATTTTTAGCATTCCGACACGTGTTTCAATCACCGAGGGATCATCTTCAAGAGAAAGATTAAATTTGCGAAGCCCGAGTTCGAACTTTTAAGAATATGATATAAGTATGCACTTATAGCATACTATTTGTGCAGCAAATCTGGGAAGAGATTTGAGATCTTTCTCTCACTCTTCTCTCTCTAACTCTCACTATCTTTTATCTCTCTCTCTCTCTTTTTCTCTCACACACACACACTATCATTAAACAAAAGCAGATCTAGTTAGTGGGCGGGACCATAACGGAATTCAGAAAGCTCTTCATACATTTGACAAGCTGTATATTCTTTTGCCGACAGGAGAAGTACGTGTGAAAATATTCACGGGTCAAAAATAAGTCCACTGATAACTATACAGCTGAAGTAGATTCCGCCGAAATGAATTTCGAAAATATGACGCGAATAACAGCAACAGATATGAGGATTCTCACCAGATAGTTACTCGATCCTTGTGTACATATTAACAAACTTGATAAAGCGAACAACTAAGCGTAAAAATGAAAATAAATTGAATTAACAGAATTTTGAATGTCATTTTTTGAACGATAAAATTGGTTTTGGTAAATATCGAGATTGGAGTTGTCAATATTTGGGACACTGGGAAAAATACCAAAACAAGGGCTAGCCAATGAACCTCAAAGGTTAGAAAAATTAATTTTTGAAATTCGATGCAGCCGGTATCATGAAATCTGACAAAAAACAAATTTGATAATTTTTGCTTTCATGTGGAAAAAAGAATCACTTTTCAAAATCAGTTTTTTGAAACTAAAAATGACGAATAATTTAGATTATTTATACAGGCTGATTCACGGTGGATGGCACATTAGACGTTTCTGGTGAACCAGACAACGGATCACTTTGAAAATTTAATGGAGGGCATATTCGGACATTCTCTAGCCAACTAAAATATTTTCGACAATGCGGTGTTGCCGCTTCTATTAGAAAGCAGTAGCAACTTTGATTTTTCAAATGGAACACTCTGTACATAATATTATTTTTGGAATCTCCAACAATTGCC